CCATTAATTTGCACTTCTCTGAATGCTTTTGTAATCATTAGGTCATAGTAATACTAAGTTAGTAGATTAAGTGACTGTGACTGGTTTTTTTTTGTTACTAAATTACAGAATCAGTAGATGTCAGGAATGCAAATGAATATACTGCTAACATTTTACTGAATTCAAATTGATTTTCAGGCAGAATGAAAATTGGCTGAAGGATCATAAAAAGAAGATAATAGTCCACCGAGGAGAAGTACCCACTGAAATGCCTCAGGGACACGCATTAGGCCTCATGCTATTTGATTTATTTAGATGACAAGGCTGGCTCTATAGGAAACATTTTCAGTTGTGTGATGCTGTAGAACATCTAACTTCAAACAAAGAAACAGAGCTAATGATCGACTCAGTTGTTTTAAAACAAAGTGTTTGTCATGAGTCTGTGGTGCTGTATTTCTCTTTACCCCTTCTTAACTTTAGTAAGTGTTATATGGGGGCTTGTTTCTATTGTGTCTATCCCTACTGGCTAGCCCATCATAGGCCACACAAGTCCTAAGAATTGCTTTGCCATGATTTTGTTGCTATAGGTGGCCTTACAAGAGGATTTGCACAATACCTTTTTTGGAGGTTATGTGCTATATAGGTGAAATTCAGCTGAATTTAGATAGTTGGCCCCTTTCTCTTGCCTCTGTGGTTTTTTTTCTAGGAGGCAGAGTATAACTCATGCCAAACGTATGGACAACCTGAAAAGATTGATAAAGCATCTTTAGAATCAAGTTCTATTAGCATAAAATGATTTTGTATGATTGCATGTAGCACGTGTTGAGGAAGAATTCCCACAGTCTCACTAAGAAAATAACATGTATTACCACAAACCAGATGTGATGTGCTATGCTGGGGTGACTGTTGGAGATTCAGAGAGAGAAGGAAACAGAAGCAGGTTTTCTTAAACAGATAAACAATGCACAGTCATCTAAAGGTAACTGAGAGGGGAATGTAGAAAGACTTGTGATAAGCTTCACACAAATATCTTGTAAGTAAAATGTCACTGTCTGTTATCAATAGTTTAAGCAAGATCAGAATCAGCTCAAGATTTCTCAGAGTAAACTTACTGTAATCCATACTGCACTGACATTTCTGGTACCTTAGTGCTGCTTTTCCTTGAAGTAATGCAGCAGTCAGTCTAAGAAAAAAAGAACTATGTCCACTATAATAATCTTGTAAAATTTATCAAAGTGTTTTTTGTTGTAAGACTTCTGTGTTTTTTTTTTTTCCCCCAGCAGTGTCCTATAAGGTATAGAATGTTTTCTTTAGCAGAACATCTTTCCCTTTTTGATCTTCTCAATCCTGTACTTAAACAATACATTTCTCTCTGTTCTGCTGTAAACTGATGGCATATCTACAGTGCTCTGTACTTAGAATATGTTGCTTTCATAAATAAGCCAACTCTGGTCATTAATGTGCAAGAACAAGGGAAGGACCATGTGGCTACTTAGTTATCCTGAGCTGCTGTGTTGAAGGAATTTTAAGAAAGACAAATTTTAGGAGTGAAGCATTTTTCAAGTAAAATGCAAAAGTTCAGTCTAAACAACAGCTGTTTGAACTGTATGCACTGTCCATAGGTTGCATCCAGTATCATGAGTGTGAGGAAGCTCATTAAAAATCAGATAATCACAAGTGATAGCTCACTTCTTTCAGGAAGCGCAGTGGCAATTAATACTTATAAACAGTTATAATTATTGTTCTATTTTCTTTTCATTGTGCTCCATCTCTTTGATTTTTCTGAGTAATTACATACAAAACAGTTGAATGTTTTTAAATCTCTCACAATGAAAACTCCATCTTTTAATGTCTGTGGTCAAATATAACAAGCATCTTCATTTTAAAATATACTGGTAGTTCCCTGTGTCCCACTTCCAGTAATGTTTGACACACATACTCCAGCTTTCTTATTACTGCTTCAGGTAGGAGCTGGACTAATTAAAACTGAACCAGATGTTCTCCTATATCCTCCAGGTCTGATGGTGTCCACGTTTAACTTCAGATGTGAGTAGTGTCCCTGAACTCAAGGAATGAGGTGGTAAAACCAAGAGTGAATGAAAATGTTTGTTGCACTACATTTTATAGATACAAAATTTTATAGATACAGAAATACTTATGACAAAGATTCCAACTCTGCAATTTCTACATTGGTTTTGTTGATAGCTTCCATATGCATAGGTTGTTTTCAGAAGAAATTAGAAGACTGTCAAGAAGAAGGCCTACTTGAATCCCATTAACTATGAAATTATACTGAAAATGATGTTTTTAGATGTAAGAAAGGAAGATAAAATTATTGAAGTTTCTAAGAGTTAACTTGAGTAAGAACCTTAAGGATTTCAAAAGTTTAAACAGTTCTCAAAACTTGAAGGCAAGTTTAAAAAAAAAAAAGTGACCTTCTCTATATTTTATGTAGAGCTGAGTTTACCTCCACCAAGCAATAAATACTAATTCCTTCACTTGAAGGATGTGGTGCATCCATACTGTGCAGCAACTCAAATATTCATTTATCATGTCCTAATGGATCATGCAGAACACAGCCTTAATCTAATGCTGAGGTTAGAAAGGCATGAGTCATGGAGGCAGAATTTTCACCTGAAAAGAAACAGCTGCAGTCTATGCAAACATGTTTTAGCAGCTGCTGAAAAACTATGATCTGAGATCTGTTCAGAAATGCGTCATATTCTTACATCATGGTTTCTAAAAAACAGACACATCCTCAATCAAAGGGGAGAAACATTTTTTTTGTTGAGTTATCTGGATGCTTTTGTAATATCACTTGTCTCTTGTCCAGGTAACTCTCAGTGCCCTAATCACTGTCAGATTTATCAGTACTCAGATCTTTGACAATTGCCATGATTCAGCAAAGCATATGATTCTGCAACTAAAGACATGTTTAAAGACATGTTACGTTTTTGCTGTCTTAGGCTTTCTAATGTAATTATATCACCAAATGTATGCCAAAGTTTATCACAGAGAAACAAAATAAATACATTTGATTTTGATGGTTTAAAGTACAGTTAACATCAAATGAGATTAAGATTCTAATTGACACTTACGCTATTGTGAAGCCAACAACCATTTCTAAATGCCTTCCTGTTTTATCCACATTCTGGCAGGCTGTGGAATCAATGTATGAGGCTTAGAATCATCAGAAGAATACTCAGTATTTTTGCAGTTGATAGATCTGAATCATTTTTGTGAGGCACTGTTTACTATAATACGACTCTTAAAGCAAGGAAGAGGATTTTAAGTAAAGTGGATTATTTCCCCTTGCCAGAACTTGAAATTGAAATACATTGTTGTATTTCAGCATTTTTTTGAAACAATTAAGTAAATGAGGAATCACCAAATTATAAAAAGTTGTATTCTTTTCCCAGTGAAAACCTCCCGAGGAGTAGGAAGTAGTTAAAACTAGGGGAGAAGAGTAATCTGTGAAAAGTATTACAACTATTGTGAGTGTCTGTCAGTTCAAAGAGGAACCCGTGTGGTTTCTCAAATGCTTTTGTAGAAACAATATAAACCCGTGACTACTCTGGTATCATTTTAGTCATGTAGTGCAGACATTCAAGACAGCTTGTAAATATCCAGGCTGCTTTACCAAACAAAGAATTAGCTTTTTCACACACAGGATAAATATTGTTACAGGAAAGGCATTGGTGTACCTTAATGCATTATATGTATATTGAATAACACACTTAGTTTTAAGACTGGATTTTTTTCTTTCTGATCAGAAGTACATAATATCCCCTTAACACCAAAATGCTGCAGAGATGTTGTTTACTTTTAGGATGTAATGCATACTTCATGCAACACAGTTGGGATTTCTGTCAGACCACTGATTTCTACATCCCCATGGAGCACAGTTCATGGAGTGCTGGATACTGCACACTAAGAGGCTGCAACAGGAGAAAACCCAACAATAGCTTTGCCTACTATACTAATCAATACTTTCTGTGTTTTAAATATTGACTTAATCTGTTTTCTTGTGCCCAAGCACATCCCTCCACTCAGTCACTAAAGAAATATTTTGGAAGCTTCCTGAACCAGAAGTGAACATGTCACTGAAGTTTCCCTTCCCAGTTTTCTTTTTTTAACCCAAGAGGGTATGGTCACAGCCTGTTTTAATACCCCCAGTAATGCCTGCATAGGAGCTGTCCCTTGATCATGCATGTGTTTTTTATCCCTAGCAGAAGGGGATGATTTACTAGGTGTAATTTCTCAGAGGAACTCGCAAAGCAATGGGAGCAGCAGGGCAGAAACAAGCTCAAGATACTGCTGTAGACAGGTAAGAGTGCTATTAGGAAGGGATCCAGATAGGTCAGCGCCTCAAACAGTGCATGAAAACGTTACCTGCGGGAGTCAGAGCGCTGCTGCACGTTGCTGTGGCTGCACTGCCACCTGGCGCTGCCTCCTGAGATTACAGCCTCTCTTCAGCACTGGGTTTGTGTAAAACGACCGGCAAAGGAGCGCTGGGAAGATGCTGTTGCAGAAGCTTCGACTTGGTTAGGTTGTTATGTAAATAGATGCGAATAGGACAGCACGTGCGTGTGGGGTCAGAAGCAGTTCAGGAGGTGTACTGAGTAATGGGAACGGACGTGGGCTGTGGTCAGCTGTCACAGCCACAAGCAGGGTGCTTCGCATTCGACATGAAATGGCATTAAATAGTTAATCGCAGCGCGCCCATCCTCGCAGCTGACCCTCCACCGGCGCGGCTAACAGCACAGAGCTTAAAGAATAGTTCGTTTTTCGTTGCTTTCTGGAGCTTTGTGGGTTCATACCTCTCTGCAAACGCTTCAGTCCCCCAATACCTAAGATTTGTTTTTGTGCCGTCCTTGAAGATGTCAGCTCCGTCCCGCAGGGGCAAAGCAGCTCCGTGACACACCTGAGGAGCGCTCCCGCCGCCCCGCACTACGTTTCCCGTGATGCTCTCGGGCCGCCCCGCCGCGCCATTGGCCGAGACGGCCGGAAGGGGCGGGGAGGGGGCGGCCGCGGTCCGGCGGGCGGCAGCCGTGCGGGTCTGTGCGGAGCGAGCGTCCCAATGGCAGCGCTGAAGTACGCGGGGCTGGAGGACACAGATAGCGAGGAGGAGCTGCCGCCGGGCTGGGAAGAGCGCACCACCAAGGACGGCTGGGTTTACTACGCCAAGTAAGGCGAGGGGGCACCGTGCCGTGCCGTGCCGCGCCGCGCCGCGCTTGCAGCCCCGTGCCCGCGGGTAACCTCCGTGCGGAGCGAGCGGCGCTGTCCCAGGAGCGCGGGGTGCAGGGGCCGCCGCGTGCCGCGCTCTGCGTGAAGGGCGGGAGCGGCGCGCGCTGAGGCTGTTCCGCGTGCGGTGCCTCGGCTGCGCCGTGCGGGAAGTCCCGCGTGCAGCGCTGCGGCTCGCTCTGTAGCTTTCCTCCGTGCGGGAATGGGGGAGAAACGCGCGCGTTGAGAGTTGAACGCGATAAACGCGCTGTTTGGGCTTCTTCCGCGTGCTGCGGCTCGGATTTGCGTTTGGCACCATCTGCTGTGTCACTGACGGTTGCAGCGTCCTCGTTGCCTACAGAAGGGGCGTGCTGCAGGGCAGCTGACCTGCTGGGGTTTGTGTTTGCGTCTTTTCTCCTCTTTGGTGGTTTCTGTAGCTTTAAAGCCTCTTAACCCTTACTCTCTTCCTCAGAAAGGGGGAAAGTGCTGCGTGGTTTCACCTGTGCTGAGCTGACTTCGTCCCCTGCGTTCAGGAGCCGTGCAGGAGTGGCACTGAGGGATGCACTCAGTGGGCTGGGCCATCTCGGTGCTCTTTTGCAACCTTGATGGTTCTCTGTCATTCGGATTCCCAAACAGCTGACAAAACATCTGAAGCGTTGTTTATAAACACTGCGCATTTGTAGGTGTTTGTTTGTCTTGGGTCCATCTCACATACGTTTTTTTTTACGTGAAGAATTCTTTGAAAAACAAATGGCTTGCTGAAAGTGACCAACCTACAAAGTAGTAAAATGCTGCCTCTTGGGATGTGTGCTTGTTGAGCAATTAATTCAGTCGTATCTAGTTTGTGAGCGGTTGTGAAACTGAAGTAATGCCCTTTACATCAGTGGTGTGATGCATCCTTACTAGCTGAGAACGCTTCCCAGCATGTCTAAACATAGTCGAGATGAAGAAGTGTTGCAGTACTGCTGTTTTCAGTGCGAGCTTGACACCTGTGCTGGTTCTGCAAACTCTGGGAATCTGTTTTCAAGCCTCATTAACAACACGGACTTTAAACTGGAATAGGGATATTTTGGTTTAAGGCCTTTAAAGCTCCTTGCTATGGGTCAGTTCTGTGCCTACCTGGTTACTAAAGCTTGGTGGGCATGCATTTGTTAAGCTATGATACTTAGCCTAACAAATAAGCTAAGTATTAGGTGGTATTATAAGGTGGTGATGTATTCACATCAGACAGCGGGATCTTATTTATCTGTACTATAAGAACATCCTGAAGTGTGAGCGCTGCTCAAACAGGCACTTACTGAATGTCGGACCACTAGCTGTGAAGAAAACGCTGTGAACTGCGTGGTTGTTTTAGGAAGGAAGAGTTGCATATATGGTGTGCGTGTTGCTGCTTGCACTTGAGCTAGCAATTATTTGTGTATCTATCAATAACGCTGTCACTTTTTATTTGGGACTTGAGCAACTCTCAGCGGGGCACTCTTAAGAGTGATCCCATCCTGAGGCTGAATTTTACCAGAAAAAGTATTATTAGACAATTTTTTTTTAAACTTATACATTTTTTTTTTTATTTTTTTTTTTCCCTGCAGTCACCTGGAAGAAAAAACACAGTGGGAACATCCTAAGTCTGGGAAGAGGAAACGTGTTGCAGGAGGTTTGTGTTAAACTTTTGTAATGAAGTATAAGTATGTTACAGAAATCAGTCCAAGAGTACGTGGGAGCTGTATTCATCTCTCACCTAGACAAGCTGAGGTTGGAAAATGTAGCTGATTTCAATGGGGTGTTACTGATGTGATGATTGTCTGTATAGAGGAATTGCTTTGCAGATGTATGGCTTTCTTATATTGTTCCAGAAAGCCAAAATACCGAGTCCAGGATGGAGGCATTCGTAGTAGTAGCTTGTCACAGGCTTGGATTCTCATTTTGGATTCTTGTGTCCTCGTGTCTTTTGGATATAGTTCATGGTTAAGTTATCTTTATAACTGCCCATCCAAGAGTATCTCTGGCACAGAGGGAAGTCGCATTAGTCTCATTTTTTTTCTTGTTTTCCCTAACTGTTGAACTTTTGTGTCAGAACAGAAGATACCCTGTCTTGGAGAACTCTTTCAAAGCTATGTGATTTCTCAAGGGCCTTGAATCAGATCTTCCCAGAAGCTTCTGTGTGGTGTACTTAGGGATGCTTCTGTGAAGCAGGGAATTGAAGCAAAAAAACCCTCATGACCTCTTAACCTTATCTGAGCTACAGTGTGGCTTTGGAGAAAATAAGACTTGGTATTCATTGGTAGGATTTTTGAGTAGGTTGACTGACTGCATATTTGAAGAGGAAGCTTAACTGTGTTTTTTTGTTTTTTTTTTTTTAAAGAGATTGCAAACAAAGCTTTTCATCTGTAATGTTTTGTGTAAGTGGATAAATGGTGCTGAATTCTAATATTTTAGATACGCTAATACTATATAGGTAATAATATAAAAGTCCCTGTTACACCTAGTTTGGGTAATGAAAAAGGAGCATGGCATAAAAGAACATACCAGGTGATGCTGTTATTATGCAGTTGAGGTTTTGTGACTTATACTTTGCTTGTATTATTCTGGAGAAGAATTAAAGCCCTTAAGGAAGGTCTGTTGACAGTCCATATTTGTTTTGCTTATGGGACTAAAATGTTCTTATTAGATTTTGAGTTGATGCAATGATAACTAAATAGTTTCGCCTGTGTTTAGAAATGCTGTGAAAATGCTCTGTTCAGTACTTGAGTGGTTTTCTTTTTCCAGCTTTGATTTAGTATATCCCATACCTCCTTCCTTCAGGGTTCTGATCTTTCAACTTTTATGCTGTATATAACTTTTCCTACATTTAGTTCAGTATTTTGACAATTTACTTCATCAGGGTTAAGTGCTAAACCATACAGTTTAGTGTACAAGTGTACAGACACCTGTATATGTATGTACTGGAAACCATGGTAAGATTTTGCTGGTTTGTGCTATAATATGATGTAATCTGTATGAAGAATTATTTACTATGCTGATCGTTACAATTTTACAAGCTCTTTAAGTTGTACTTTAGAGAAAAACTGTGTGTGATTAAGAAAGCAACTCTCTCTTCAAGTTCCAATTTTGAAGTGCAGCAGGTGGCTGAATTACCTACAGAAATAATGTGAACTGTTGCCAACATCTATTTGAGAAATCAGAAACTTCAAATCTGATTGTATTCAAATGCCTGTAAGGAGGTAATGTTCTCTGTTTTTCCTAGGTCTGCCATATGGATGGGAGCAGGAGACTGATGAAAGTGGACAGGTCTATTTTGTAGAGTAAGTAATATAAAAATGTAGAATATGAAGAAGTAGAACAGCTGTTTTAGGCTGGGTAGCCTTTTTCTGTTATGATACAGTGACACTATCAGCTAGAAAGACTAAGAAGTTTATAAGTAAAACTTTTTAATCAGTGCGTAATTATTATGGATTTAGCAACTTCTAAATTTTCATTTGTGATTTACTGAATAATTCCACATGTGTAGAAATACTGACTTGGGTGGCAGATTGAAGTGACAAATTGACAATGGATCTTCAGGCAACATTTATGTAGGTGCATTCAGTTTATTTAACTTTGCTAACACACTCTGCATGTAAGAGAACTGTTATGCCATGACCTGAACTAGTGATTGAACACCTGTTGAAGGAGCTAACTGGCCCAGTAAGCACAGGTGCGAACAATTCACCCTTCCCATATGACTGGAAGGGGTCGATCCTGGGCTCATTTAAGGGCTAACCTCCAAAAGGGGAATGTCTCCTGGAAGAAGGCTGTTTCTTAAGAAGTGTAAGGTAGTTGGGAACCCTGTAACCAGTTGGATGAGTCAGCTTTTTCCTGTATGTGATTAGTGATATTCCTAATGATGCTTTGCCGAGTGTGGCAAAGAACTTGCCAGAAGCAATTTCACTGCTTCCGAGGACCAGCAAAGTGTGACTTCAAAAACATAATGGTAACTTCATGACTTGGTGTTGTTACAATTCTGCTTTGAAGATAGAAGATGGAAACAAAATTGCTGCACCTCTGACTCATTGCAGTCTAAAGAACTAAAAGAAGAGTGAATGAGAATTAAGGTAGTGTAGAACTTCAGAAGGCTAAGAGAGAGAGAAATTCACAGAAGCAGGAAAGATTTCTGAGAATAGTTCCTTCCTGTGTATTTTCAGGAACAGGAACAAGAGGAGTAGTTATCTTAAACTGACATGGCAGAATTAAGAATATTTACAGGCCAAAATCACGTAGCCTCTTTGTTCTGTTATTAAGGGCTGAAGACTGAAAGTTACTGCTCTTTCTGATAACTGTCTGAAGAAAGCTAACCTATGTTACAGGAAGGTGAACTTGACCAAATAATGCAATTTACATAGCTGATATTAAGTTATTTGTTTTCAGTTGTTTGAAGGAGAAGGGGGAAAAGTATTGAGCTATATTTCTTGTTAACATGTTGCTTCAAGGGAGTGGTACAGGTCCCTTTTGAAGAGCTCTGTATAGAAGGTAGTCTTCCCTAGTATAATGTGATCTTTTTTTTCCTGTGACAAAATACTGTTTATATGTGAGTGTCAAGTCCAGAATCAAATTGTAATGGATCTGTATACAGTTTCTCATGAACACTGTCACCATCAGAAAAAGAGCTAGTAAAATAATTAGCATAATTTTAACAAAAGTGGGGGAAAAAATGATTTTGGGGCTTTTAAATAATAAACTGGATAGTACAAAACAGTGGTTGAAATACACTTAAAATTATATGCAAGTACAGTATGATCAAAATGGTGTAATTTTTCTGTTCTTTTACAGCCACATAAACAAAAGAACTACCTATCTGGATCCAAGATTGGCCTTTACAGTTGAAGATAATCCAGTAAAGCCACCTACTAGACAAAAATATGATGGAAACAGTACTGCGATGGAAATACTTCAGGGTCGTGACTTGAGTGGAAAAGTGGTTATAATCACAGGAGCAAATTCGGGAATAGGTAGGTTACCATTACGTATACAGGAAAATGTGACAATTTTTGTCTTACAGGCTAATTTGACATAATCAGTTTTTTGTCTAAATATCTGTATACTTTCATATTTGAACATGTTTCACATCATGTGGATCTAAAACCTCTAGACAGTAAACTTTGTTCAGGCTTGTGTAATTTTTGTAATAAAAGTGAATCTGGAGCTTAGAGGAGAGCCACGTGGATGACAAAGTTTTGAAGCAACTGATTTTTTGGTCTAGTAAGTATTGATGGAAGTATTTTATGTCATACAAATATATCAAAGGTGAATGCTAAGGGGAAATGAATAGTTTCTTTTTTATGATCTTGGTGGCTAGGACAAGGAATAAGGTTTGTAATGCTGCAAAGGAGTTCAGATAAAATATTGAGGAAAAACTTTTCTAATGGCAACAAATAAAAAAAAGATTTTCTGCAGAGGCTTTGGGATCTTTATCTCTGAAGATATGTTCAGAGTGATGATGAATCTGTGTTAGAATTCTATAGCAGTTGATTGTTGGAGGCAAAAAGTAATGTCTCTTTTTCTCTTAGTATTTTCTAGCTGGTTCATAAATTCTTTTAGATGTGCATCCCGTCTAAATATCTGTTAGGTAATGTTATTTCTATAGTTGGTGAGTATTTGAGAGATTTTTATATAGCTGCTATTGTTTCATTTCTATCTTGAAGTTTGGCTCTTGGGGCTGTTCTGAGGAAAGAGAATTCCTTCTCCAACTTGCTAAGCTGCTTGAAGTTCCCCTCAGCAAAAGAGGAGCCACAAGTACAAGAACCACCAGTGTGGTTTGGTGTCAGATTTGAACACTTTAGGTAAACTTATGATCCACCTAAATCCTAGATAACGCTTTTTTCCCACTTGTGACGACTGTCCTTTTTCTATTTTCTTCGTGGTGGGACCTTGTGAATATCGAAAACCCTTACGCAAACTTTTTAGAGTAGGATCTTGACTGAAATATATCCAAGAACACTGGAAAAGCAGTGTTATCTGACAAGAACCAAATGAAACATTTAGAGCTTTTTTTTAGTTAGCAATCTGTGCACGTATCCTGTAGTCCTTGCTTGTTATAGTCCTATAGATTAGTATTGCAGTTAGTGCAGCACGCATTGCACATCCACAAAAAGTTTGTGTTTTTTCAATAACATTTACACTCTGCATTTTTAGTACAGAATGTCTTGAAATTGTATCCAGCTGTAGAATTTGCTCTGTATACAACTGTGCGGTCTCGGAACACTTAAGAATTATGAGAGCTTTATCAGGAGAAGAGCTGCTGCTCAGACTTGCTGAATGTTGTTTCATGGTGAAAGATTAATCCAAGGTGTATGATACTTTGGTCAAGGCTTTTTTCCTTGTTTCTCCCTTAGTTCATGATCTCAAGTGATCACAAGTAAGCAAGCTATCCTCGCATCAGGTCTTGTTTTGTCTGTGGACTGTTGACTATAAGAACATGTTGTAAAATAAGCATCTGAAGTAACAAAGAATTGTTGTTTATTGGCTTTCTTTGTGAATTCATCAGCTGGCTGGGTAATATGCATTTGATTTTTTTTCTTTTTTGACCTGTTCTTTCTTTTTTTTCTGTTTAAAGTTAATGCACGTAAGCACATTTACGCAGAAGTTTATGTATCGTTCAGCCCCGTATGTGTGCACGTGTGTTTATGCTTATGCACTCTTACAATTTACTGACACAGACTGACTTACTGCATACACTCTTATTTTTTAGTTTTGCCCCATGTCAGACACGTACCAAAGACCAAACGCATACCACAAGCTGAAGTATTAATGGAATAAACCTTAGGCATGTACTTCTTTATGAAACTGGTACATAGAGAGTACAAAACTATGAAGCTGCTGTAGTAAATATATTTGATTAAGATGGAGTTATGGCCTGTATAACTCAGCTCATGCATACCACATTGCAGTTAATGTTGCTGTAGTTCTAGGCTTCTTGTTGGATGTTATTTACTGGTTGTTGTTGGAGCAAGGCTTAAGAAGAAAGCAGTTCTGGGGTTTATGTCTGTTATATTATCTGTGTGACTCTTAGCAAGCTGCTTTGAACATGTCTGTTGTGTAATGGGTTCCAATGTGGAGATCCATGTGGGCTTTAGTATGTTTCTATACTGTTCTTGGGGCATCCATGTGGAAATACTAATTGCTACCTTGAGCATAGTCTAAGCAATTTTGGAGATTATTCTCTGCGCTCTAAAATATAGAATTATATATATGCCATTAATTTTCATTAGCAACTTGATGATGGCTAAAGAGTTTCTTTGTTCTTACAGTACAAGGAGCTCATAAGAGATCAAGAGTTATTAGTGAAACATTTTTTTTTTTTCTTTTTTAAATTTTTAAATTTTGGAAGGTTAAAGAGGCAGTAGTTCTTGGACCTGCTTCTTGTATGGATAAAATCACATTTCCTGATTGTTTCACTAGAGGGCTCTGTTGCTCTTTGGAAATGTTGAACAAAAGAGACCTGGTGCTTTTTGCTGTTTTTGCTAAACGCTCCTGAAATGTTGTTGTGTATGTATTCTTATCAGAGCTAGAATTAAATAACTAATAATAGTAATAATAATAATAAAAAAATAAGAAATACATTAGATGTTATCTAAGCTTTATTTTGTAAAATATGTCGCACTTTCAACCAAGCAATATTACTTTTTTAAAGAACAATTGTTTTTAATATCAGGGAAACAGTGCAGCAAATTTGTTATTCTGTGTCTTACGGTGTATGTTGTTGTCTGGTTTTAAGATTCACGCAGTGATGTGACCTTGAAACTACACATTCTATTTCCTGTGCCAGGTAAAGTTGTGTTTAGCCTGTTATGACTGTTAGAATATGAATGAGCAGCAAATTGTAAGTACTATGGCAATATATTATGGAGGGCAAAATGTGTATATTCTGTGCAAACAGGTTCCACGAAGGACTTTGAAAATCTGTTTCCCAGATTTTTTTGCAAGACTGTATTCATTATCACATCCAAACTAACTCAAACACAATCAATTGCTGGTTGTAATATGTTTCATTTTGTGCTATGTGAAGGTCAACATTTCTGAATTGTCTTTCTGAGGGATGCCCAGATCAAGCACAAACTGTCTCTAAAAAATGTAAAACATTTTTGGCTTTGAGCAGCATAACTCTTTCAAATACTGAACAAAGTCCAGAAACTTCAGTTATAATGCCATTTGTTTTAATGTTTTTCTTGATTATGCTTTATCAGAGGTGATATTTAAAAAACAATCAATCAAAAAACAGAACAAAAACTGTCAGTTTCTGTTTTGGTTAAATAGATTTCTCTCTCACCTGGTGCTTTTATTGTTACGAAATGAAGTCTTAGCTAGGAGGAAAGTTATATAGAAGTGCTGTTAATCAGTTCTTAAAAAGTGACTTGCTACTCCAATGAGTTTTCAATCTCCAAATACTTACGGTGTGAGAAGCTAACTTTATTTCTTTTATTTTTTTGGACAAAACTTCAACGTTAACAGCTTACGTTGTGCTGATGCCAAAGATTGGGATGTGTACTTAGTATAAACGCCTGCTTTATAACTTAGGCTCTCTTGGATAACTGACCTCTCTAGTTTGTAAATAGTAAAAACAGAAGTTTCTGTTTTATTCCTCTCCTATAGGTTTTTCTTTTTACTTTTGATTCTGTTGGTGTATTACATTTTGTGTGGAAAGTTAAAATACAGTTAGCAGCTGCTTTTTTTAATCCTTCTTTTTAAACTGATTTAAGCTACGTCTATTTCATCCCTTTAAACAAATGTAATTAATTCTTGATTATCCAATATCAACTATAGGGGGAAGAGAATTAGACCTATAACTCATGCTTTAAGTTCAGATACCAGAACAGAATAGAGCCTATGAAGCTTTTGAAATGCACTGTAAACGTATTTATTGAGCTGTATTCCCAGTATCAAATGTCATAGTTAATTGCAGTGGGAGTTTGTGTAATTCCGCAAACGTCTCTGAGCACTGAAACTGTAGAAGGTACCATTTTTGACAGTGGGTAACTGGATAATTTACTTACATGTTACTATGATAATAATGTGAAGTGATAACATCTCATTCACCCATGCTGGTGCCTTTGTGATAAGTAGAGGTCACGTGGCTGTGTGGTTTATCATGTGCCTTTCTCAGTATCACCTGCCTCGAACTCAGCAACCTTCCTCATGCAGGGCATTACAGGTGTGGTTAGTGTTTGTTGAATAGTACTTAATTCAGTAATGGTTTTTTAAGCTACTACGTGTAGGGGCTGTAGAGTTAAACTTCTTGTGGAGATTGCTGATTGTCTGTAGTGCATGCTGGAGAGCTTTTACCAATGTACTCTATGTACATTGAATGGAGAGGGATGAGTTGTTGTTGATCGAAAGTTGTTCTGTACCTGCAATGAGGAGAGTTGTGAAGGTGAGGAATCTTTCTAGTTGCACAACTTGCTGAGATGACTTGTGGACAATGTAGCATTTCTCTGAGGTTGGTTTTTATCAGCCTCTTCAAAGAAGGTAACATTTGCTGAATCCTAATTAGAGCAGTGAATGGTCTAATTTGACTCAAACTGAGATCATATGAAACAAATAAAAACAGACCCTTGCATGTACTGCTGAGGACTTTCATTTAAATGGTATTAGTCTGTGTGTCTTAAGTGTGTTCCTTGTCTTTTGCTGTTGTTCATGGCGTTTGGTGGTCTAAGCCCCCTGATGTTTGTATCTGTTAGGGAGGAATAGTTCAGCTCTATTTTTGAGCTGTATCATGCCCTGTTCTTGAAAAATTGTGTTTCTCTTTGAAAGCACAAACATTTTTTTATACTATCTATCCCTTGTTTTCAGTTGGAATGATTTTTAAAAATTATAATATTGGTAGGATTTCTACAAAGGAGCTGCTCAAGATAGTGCTCTGTTTCAATTTCACATAATGGTTCCATGCATGGTTTTTAATTCTTTCCCATGCTATAACGCGTGAATTTTATCATCTTGAAAAAAGGATCCTGTT